TGTCTAATCCCCTTCATAGCACAACCTGCATTTCTTATTCCCTGGCACAGAAAAGCAGACACCGACCGACTCCACTTTCTCCATTTTACACTTTCAGATCAGTTTGGCAATCCAGAGCTGGGGAGGGGGAAAGGGAGGAGAGGGAAATGTGCTGCTACGCCTTTCCCTGTGCTATTGCTGTAAGAAAACATGACGATGGGATTACGACTAACTATTGAACTAAAGGGAAGTGTTCCACCTAGAGACCGTCTTCACCAGGCAAGGCAATGGGCAGGTTACCTGCAAACGGACACTCTTTTAGGATTGAACACGCCTGCTGATTCTGTGGTAAAAAATGATGCAGAGGTATTGCCCCCAGTAGTAATTAACAATGTTAATCTTCTTCTTCCTCTCTATGGTGATAAAAAGAGTCATTTTTATATTTAATTAATGCAGAGGATCATTTTGGAAACTGGCTAATGAGGCTCTGATCACATTACCATGAAAATGTGCATTAACACCACAACTGAGGAGGCTGCTTCATGTGTAGAGAATCCACTTTGTAATTAGCCCACTGTGAAATGAATCACGTCAGGAGGAACTCGGAGGGAACCAGTCGGCAATGGGCACTTAGCTGCTGCTGTGCCAATAGACCACCAGCACCGTAAGCTGTTTTCTCCTCCGCGCTGCCTGTCAGCAGCAGCGCAGTCCAAAACTGCAAGCGTTCAGCCTCCGTCAACGGCAATGTGTCAAAGCCAGGACAAATTACAGAGAGGGAGAGAACAGATGCTGAAAGGCACTAAACTTTAGCATGCGAGGGTCTGCTGTGCCAGGAGGAAAAACAACCAAAAAGCTGCAAATCAAATACTGATTCAATAGGATCTGAGCAAAAATTATGGGCTATTATGGTAAGTGCTTGTTTCGTCTTTCCTCATCTTATTCTCAATGAGCTGGGAACACGTTAGCAGCACACTGCTACACTGCTACTCATACTGCTACAATGCTGAAAGAGACACCAAAATATCTAGATGAGATTAAGATCTTTGTCTAGCAGTAAACAGAAATAACACGCACAATGAATGAACAAGCAGCACACCTCACCCATGGAAACCCTGTTGTTCTCATACCTGTTTAAAGGTGACAAGCACATTTCAGAATCATTTCAATTTCAATTAATTAATCTGAAAATCTAACATACTTCTTGGCCAACACAGACATGCCATAAAAACTTTGTTCCTTCACTTAGAAATACCTGAGATCACAGACCTAATGCTTTCAGAGGCAGCAGTGCAACTTATTGAAATCAGTCTTATTACCAAAGCCAAGGGCTCCTTTAAAACATCACCGATATGGTTCAGTGAGGCTGCTGCTATATGACTGACATCTTGGCAGAAGATACACAAAAATGTTAAAAGAATCCCACAGGAAGTCATCTGAAGGGGGAGTGGCGAACGAGCAGAAAACAACAGGCACCCAAAATACTAATAATTACCAACACCCCCCAAACAACTTAGCTAGCAATTTTGCAAAGGAAAAAAAAAAAAGCAAAGCAAAACAAAAGCATCTCTACTTACTCTCTGTACAGAACACACATTTTTACTCTGGAGATGCTGGTAATATCCTCTGCACTCACCTGTGAAACTTCATAGAGCAGTTTGTAGTGCTCCTCTCTCTTCTGAAAAGTGCACAGATTGCAGCCCATCCTAATAAGCAACACAAAAGCAAAGCCTCTAATTTCCCCAGCACTGAAAGGCAAATGCACTGACAGGGAATCACCCTCCAGACTTGACTACTGTTTTTCATCAGTCACTCCAGCCCCGAAACACAGGCACACCACTGTTAGCTGGAAGCACAAGGCAGGGCAGTGTGTAGCAGCATGCTCTTCTTCCCTTTCCCTAACTATCTTACACTCACGTATACACACACAGAGTTTCGACTCAGTTCATGGCAACACTCCCCCTGTCTCTGCATCAGTGCACATGACTACACAGATTCTCACTCATGAATATTAATAGCCTCTCATTGATTATTTATGACAGAACGTGTTAGCGGGGAGGGGTGTCATAGCTGCTGCTGATGACAGATGAATATTCACTAATTAAGAAGCAAATGTACTGTGGTTAAACAAAATTCACTTGTGTCAATACCATCTCTGTTTATTAAGGTTAGAGGGACTAAGCTTCACGGATTTCACCCACACTCGCCTTAATTTTTACAGTAATTGTGAGACTAATTCATGAATGGGGGTGGGAAAGGCGCAAATAAAGTCTTACGTTAGGTCTCCACCTTGTGCAACAGGGATCATGGAATACATTTAAAATATCTGTAAGCATTTTAAGAGAGGGCTTGTGAAACCTGAGCTGATGTTGCTAAAAATTTAAAGCAAACAAGGAAGGAGAGAAAATTAACCCAGATGGCTATGCTGTTAGCTTCACCTCTGACACTGCCAAATCTAGCCAAAAATTCCAGTGTACTCATAAAAAAGCATGAGCCTATAACAACTTGACATAGATAGCCAGTATATGTGGAAATGAAGGCGTGCCTGATCTGGTGGTTTTTATATATATACATACATTGTACCGTTCATTAAATAATTTCGCATTCAAGTCTCTTCTGGCATGTAAAACAGAATAATAGCAATTATAGCCCAAATTTCCAAGAAACTCAACATATATACCCTCTTGGACTCCTAGATACCAAAGCTTTTATTATAACATGACATTATATCTAATTTTACCATTTGTAAATTAGATTTTAATGGCTCCACAATTCTCAATGTGTGTATAAAGGCAAGGATGCATTTAAAATTAAACCCACATGTTAAATACTAAGGCCAATGGAAAACACACTTAATTCCAGGCTGACATTAATTCCTATATTGTATATCGTGTAATCCATTGGCAGTTATGCAAGGTAAAAAGCCCAAGCCATGACAAACCAAGACAGAAAATAAAAAAGTTGCTTTTGTTTTATCACTCCTTTCTCAGCAACTCTGCTAATCAAGAACTATGTCCTTGTTTCAAAGCATCTTTAATCTGGAGGGGATAGCAGGTGGGATCCAAAGCAGAAATAATTACTTGGAAACCAATGAAACCAGTTAGTTAAGATTGACACTGGGCCCTAAAGAGTTGTAATTACTAAGCACTGATGTACAGCTACTATTTTTTTGGGGGGTGTAGTTTCCTAAAAGTGCTTTGTCAAACATTTAAAATCGATAACAGGAAATGATTCTAATGAGCACTAATTGTTAACAAATTGGCTTTGCATCTAGCAGCACCTCAAACACCACCAATACCGGGTAGCAAGCAGATCAACAATCATGTGCTGCTTATCAGTCCTGCCCCTTGGGATGTAATAATCTGATTTTCTGCGCCTTAATTTTACCTAACGGCTGGGATGGAAGCCAAGCAGAGAAACCTACAGGAAAAACTGGACCATTACTGCAAACTCTGCATATTAGTAAAGTTTGCTAGAACCTCTATGTAAATCACAGATAGGTTGAGACTAAATCTTAACTAAATTTCATCTCCTTTAACAAATGAGCAGAGTCAGGAGGAATCAAATAATGACCATTAACAGAGCAAGCTCTTCTCCTATCAGCTTCCAGCACTGTTCTGAAACATAACATTAAGATTAATTTTTATTTGGTGGAAGAACCCAAGCAGGCAGGTTTGGTTCTGAACTTTCCTGAAGTCCAAGCATTTAAAGCCAAACTGCGGAGGTGGGTTCATCATCGTTAGAACAAATCAGCCTCTGTTCTCCTCCTCCACATTCCCATGAAATGGTGTTTATGCTGAGAGGTTTAAACCCATGAAGCAAACATCCACTCAACCTTTGAAGGTTTCTATATTGTGAGGTGCAGAAGGATTCTCAGATGTGTAAATTTTGAACTTAAGAAAGTCAGATCAATGAACTAGACAACAGTCGTGCAAGAACAACCATGCCATCTTTTGATGAAAGTGTTCTCTCCTTCCACTGACACAACTTCTTCCTCTGACACATGCACAGTCTGAAAGCTAAACTACATTCATAAAAGGAGCCATGATTTACCCTGGTATATTTTTGATAGTCCCTTAAAATTAGTTCTTTAAAAAAAGGGGGAAAAAAGGATATATTGCAACAGGAATCCAGTTCTATAGGTACAAGAAACAAACAACAACAAAAAACCCCAACTCCAACAGACAAAATAAGGAATGGAAAACTACAGTTAATCTTTCAGCAGTTTCCTCTGACAGTCTCTTTTTTCATCGCTCTTCCTCTGGTTCTTTTGTTTCCTTCTCTGAAGCCGACATAGGCTTCTCCATTCATTTATCAAGTGCCTGCCCTCTGCCCATACGGAGGGTAAAAAGGTTCTGTCTTCTGCTTCTGTGGCCACTAATGGGCACAGTCTGCAGGGCTGAATAGATTTATTTGAGAAGGAAACGTGTACTTCCAGGTTCTCGAGCTCCAACCAAATATGCTGCTTTGATTTTATATGTGATCAAAATACCAAACTTTGTGCAGCACTGAATGACATTCGAGGCAAAACTTGATTGAACTAATGACTAAAATGAAATATATGACGTGCTCTGGTCAAGTTGAATTTGATGTTGGGGAGAAAGCAATCTCTTTCTTTCCTTCCTTCTCCCCCTCCTCTTAATCCCCCTCCAACATCAAATTTGTAGCTAAAGGGACCAAAAAGGTACTAAAGCATAATCAAGTAATTCTTATTCTACATGTAATTCAAAGATATTTGAATAATTCAATGCTTTTCTTGATTGTGGAGTTCTCCGTGTTCATCACCTACAATTTAATGTTACCATAAAGACTAAAATCATAATTTATAGTCAAACCAGGAATGCAATAATGCAAAGGGATGGAGTTTAATTTCAAAAGAATTACAGCAAAATTTCTGTTAACATTTTCAAAGAAGGTGCCCTTGTTTAGGTCCCCTGATTCATTTTAAGCATCTAGGAGATGACTTACACGTTTGGTATATAGTTTCCTCATTGAGGTATAGAATTGTCTAATTATAAGCACCCATGCTTGAAAGTTTATCATTAGAAAAAATTCAAGGCAATGACACTGCAAATTAAAGGCCACCACTCCTTTATATCTTCTTTATCACACAGCTAAAAGACATATAATAAAATATAACATTCATTTTAAGTGAAGATAGTGAAGTTGTTGGTCCAAACTCAGTGAAGCAAATGTGGAATTCCAAGTTTCCTTTGCATGCCCTTGAATTCACACTCTCCTCCGGAATTTACCAACCCCGCTGCATTTACTCTATAAATTTTGAAGAATTCCCAGGAATTTAGCTCACAGAGTAGATGGCAATGCAATTTACAGTTTTAGGCTGCGTAACTGTAAAACAAAAATATCATAAGAAAAAGGGAGTTGGAGAAACCCTTTGCTTCTCCCCACTGTCCTAAACAAAGGCTCAAACTCATAAAGCTTGACTTCAGTCTGGCCAGACCTTTTAGTTCATCATGATAATTAGTGTTTTTCGTAAAGCCTCAGCTGCTGGGATGAGGTGATTGTATGCATCAGTCAGTTTGCATATTAGAAAACCAAGGAATTTTCCAGTCCTATGATTGCAGAGAAAAACTTAAAAACCTTCAGTAAATGTAACCCAAAGACTCAGAATTTGCATAGGCACTAACCAGCTTGAACTCTAAAGTAACATAATGTATATTACCCAGTAGGCTAAACGAAGGTGCAAACTATGGAAGTACAGAGTCACAGAAATGGGCTTCGGCTCCAATAAAATGGATTTTTGCAAATATAGAAAACTGGAAAATTTAACCACACTCCCCACAAAAGATACATGAAAATCTAACTCAAGGTAAAAACGTACTATACGTTCTTCACAGACATCAGAACACACTTACAAAATGCATGATTAAAAAAGTAAAAATGCGTATCTGCAATAAAATGCAATATTTGCAGGAATATTAATTTATGTCCAAAGAAGAGACACTTGTTTAAACTCATATCCTTTACTTTAGCACAGCCACCAAGACTTCATGCACTGCTCAAAGTCACAGCAAGAATAAGGGTGGTAGGAGGGAAGGCAGGACGTGGAATTCCCATGTTCTGTATTTCCCAGGAGGATTGTAATTTATCTGAAAACTGTCCAGGTCTACCTGATTGGAAATCAAACAGGCTCCATAAGTGGACTCTTCCATTAGGCTCAGATGCCTCCTGGAAGGTAGGGAGCACCTACAACATTGTATGACACAAGCCCCGTCTACTGATTTTTTTTTTTCCCATCCATGGTTAAACTGACACAGATCTGTGGGATTCCTGGTCCAAAATGTAAATACAAGTCTAGAGAGGAATGGAAGCAAACACACAAGGAACCTTCTCTGCCAGTTGCTTACAACATAAAAGCTGCTGCTTCTTTTTGTTCTTCGGGGGGGGGGAATCAAAACCCCCTGTTTATTTATCACTCCCACATGAATGGGCTGGCTCGCTTTCTTTGGGAAAAGTACCATTCCTTTACCAGGTCTACTGGCCAAACTTCAGACTGCTCAGATACCTTTTTTTCTCTTTTCTTTCTCAAAGTTTCATCCAGGATATTCTTTTCTGAGGTCTTTATTCTGAGTGGCTTCCTTATCTTTTCTTAAACTGCTGCTATAATCAATTACAGAAGTGTTGCAGAACAGAAAATGATGTCTATACTGAATTTTAAGGCCTTAGGAATACATAAAGACATCA